GGGTGCCCCCGCCGCCGCCGCCGTAGTCCGCCGGGATGAGCCGCTGGCTGCAGTGCCAGGGCGACCCCAACGGCACCGAGCCCGGCGCCATGCGGCCGCGGGGCAACGGGACGGGGCGGGCGGTGGAGGGCTGCAGCGCCGTCTCGGTGGCGTTCCCGCTGACCATGATGATCACGGGCATCGTGGGCAATGCACTCGCCATGCTGCTGATCTCCCGCAGCTACCGGGCCAAGGAGAGCCGGCGGAAGCGGTCCTTCCTGCTGTGCATCGGCTCCCTGGCGCTCACCGACCTGCTGGGGCAGCTGCTGACCAGCCCCATTGTCATCTCTGTCTACCTGTCCAACCGTGCCTGGGATGCCGTCGACCCCTCAGGCCACCTCTGTGCCTTCTTCGGCTTCAGCATGACCGTCTTTGGCCTCTGTCCGCTCTTCATCGCCAGCGCCATGGCCGTGGAGAGGACGCTGGCCATCCGCGCACCCCACTGGTACGCCAGCCACATGAAGACCCGGGTGACGAAGACGGTGCTGCTCAGCATCTGGCTGGCTGTGTTTGCGTTCGCCCTCCTGCCCATTGCCGGCCTGGGCCAGTACACACTGCAGTGGCCTGGTACCTGGTGCTTCATCAGCACCGACAACAGCCAGCTCACTGGGAGCCTCTTCTTCGCCTCCACCTTCGCCGTCCTGGGGCTCCTCTCCCTTGTGGTGACGGTGGCATGCAACCTGGCCACCATTGAGGCCTTGGTGTCTCGTTGTCGGACCAAAGCGACTGTGTCGCGCTCCAGCAAGCAGTGGGGGCGAATCACCATGGAGACACTGATCCAGCTCTTGGGGATCATGTGTGTCCTCTCGACCTGCTGGTCACCGCTGCTGGTAGGTTGCCTTGCCGCCCGCTGTGGGTTAACCCCAGGCCTCCTCCCTCCCTTCCTTAGGGCAGGAGGCAGGGTGGCCCTGAGAGCCATTGGCCTGGGCAGGGTGGGAGGCACTGGCAGTTCAGGTTCCTTGTGGACAGTATGGCTGTGAATGGCCTCTGAGGAAAGGAAGCGGGGACAGGGACAGAGCCTGGGGGATGTCAGGTGTGGAAAGCTGGTAAGAGAGAAGCTGTGAGAGGTCCAAGAGGATTGCCAAAGTGCAGCTTATTTGGAAAAATAAGATGAAGGAACTAGAGTCAAAAGGAGGGACTTTGAGGAAAACAAGGGTCTTGTACAGAGGAGAGGCAGGATGCGAAGAGACCGTGGGTCTGGGAGCAGGACACTGAAGTTGGCAGGGCTCATGGCACAGAGCCTCAGGCACTGGGCAGACAACGGGCAGATTTAGAGGGGAGGGGGAGCGGCTGGCACCGGCACACTGTGCTCCTACCCGGTGCAGCCTGACCAGCACATTGTGCCTACTTGATAGCACCATAGGAGCCTGAAGGCGACGGGACAAGGGGAACCAGAACTTGCTTGTTCATTTAGGGGAACCTGTGAGAAAGTTTATCGAGACCTTACTGTGATGGAACCCTGTCCTCATGGGAAACAGCCATTTACGATTTTTTCTTTGCTCCCACCTTGTAGCAAAACTTAGTTCAGTGCTTTATGAGAAAAGGTACGACTTGTGACTTTGCGAGTGCCTTCTGGTTTTCAGCAGATTGCTCACTGTATCTTATTTATGGCAGCATTCTGGGCTTTTTGTTTCTGCTTTTTTAAAGGACCCTTGCATTTCTTTGCACTATTTTGTTATTTCTCACTTACGCCCTTCCTTTCTTGTCAGACTGGGGTGAACCCCTCCTCATGATTTAGGAGTGGAGGAGGCTGAATCCATATCTCTTTCTGCCATGTGGGACAAGGGCACACCCGGGAGTCCGGTACCCCATCTAAAAAGGCTAGCTTATTCTGCTGTCAAAGGATAGTATTATTTTTGGAAAGTTTGTACTTGGGATCCATAAGCAGGAAAGGGCTGAAGCTACCTATGGTAATTTCAAAGTTATGTGAAAGGTACTTTATGGCTGGAGAAGGATTTTTCTTCCTTCTTGTGCACAGAGAACTTGAGCTCTTGTAAATGGGGCTGTGACAAGAGGAATGGCTGACAAAGCTAATGGCTGATGGGGATGAGGTAAAAATAGAAAACAAATTAATTTAATTAAGTAATGTTATCCTTGTAAATTAATTAAAAGTCCACCAAATCTCCAAAATAACCCCACCCCAGAATAAGTCAGAGGTTGTAAGTTAACTTTCTAAAGATCATTAACAGCTTGTGACAAAAGTAAAATATGAAACCACACTGAAAATTTAGTGAGAACTTGTGAGCAAAGAATAATGTTCTGCTCCTCAAACCCCAAGGAATGTTAGATTTGGTAAGCTAAACCAGAAGACTGACCTGTCACTGTTTCTGTGTCTCCGTGCATTGATTACCTGCAGTCCCAGACACCTTGGCCAGCCATTAACATTGCTGTGGCATGTCCTGCTGTTCCACTGATGTGTGTGGTTAAGTCCCAATGGGAGACAGTAGGATTTCTTTATTTTACAGAAGTTAACTGTTGCATGCTTGTCCATAATTAAACAGATGAAAAAAATCAGAAGGCATTTATTAAATGAAGGAAGGATGTTTGCCTGTCAGCCCTTGCTTTTGTAGTCTTTCCATTGGGACACAGGTTCTGCCCTGCCCTCTGCAGCCAAGACGGCAGGACCCGTGCTGCTCCCTCGACCGGCCAGGTGGCCATGGAGCTATTGCACCTGAGGGTTTAACCAGCCTTTTAGCATAGAGAGAAAATGCCTGAGATGAGGGACACGTTTTTTTCTTCCTTCAGAACCTGAGTACTCAGAAAAATCAGTGAGGATGCAGAGATTCCTCTTGGTGGTTTGTTTCCCATGGCATTTTTGCAGATTTAACAGTCAGAAGTCAAACCGATACAGCTGCCCTGCTGAATGGGTCTGTGGGAAGCATTAATGGGATGAGTTAATGGAGCAGAGCCCAGGTCAGAGAGCCTGTTGTAAACAACACTGACACCTCCAGAAAACGCTCAGGAAGCTGGTAAGAGAGAGCAGGGCTTCTCAGAGGTTTGGTCGTGGAAGGTGAACTGATTCCCTGGCAAGGAGCCTGACGCTCCGAGTCAAAGGCTCTTTTTTTATCTCTTCCAGTTGAAGAAATTTTTATGATCGTGTGGAGGACTGCTGCCCCACTGGGTGACTCAGCTGTAATCCAGAGTGGATTTGTCAACAGTTCCCTTCCCTGTGCAGCAGCAACACATGAAAGCATGTAACTTGTTCTGTAGAGTTCTGCAAAACTTCTCTGTCTAGTCAGCATATTCTCCAGTCTTCGTATTCTCAAAATCAAGAATCATGACTACAGAAGCATATTTATACATACACTTCAACCTTTTCTGTACAACTCCAAAGTACGAATTAGGAGTAAGAGGCCAGATTTTTGGAAGAGTAATGCATGGAGTAATGCAAGTGCATTTTCAGTGAAAGCCAGATTGTAGAACTCATTTAACCTATAGCTGCATCATTTAGCAGTTGTAAGAAATTTAGTTGAAACAGGAATCCAGGGATTTTCACAGGAGATTTTTGTTTTTCTAAGAAAAGAAATCTGAGGTTTTGTCATGGTTTAACCTCAGCTGGCAACTGAGCCGCACACAGCACCTGGGTAGGATCGAGGAGAGAATTGGAAGAGTAAAAGTGAGAAAACTCGTGGGTTGAGATAAGAACAGTTTAATAATTGAAATAAAATAGTAATAATAATAGCAGAATATACAAAGCAAGTGATGCACAATGCAATTGCTCACCATCCGCCGACCGATGCCCAGCCAGTCCCCTGAGCAGCGGTCACCACCCCCTGGCCAACTCCCCCAGTTTATATACTGAGCATGACGTCACATGGTATGGAATGTCCCTCTGGCCAGTTTGGGTCAGCTGTCCTGGCTGTGCCCCCTCCCAGCTTCTCGCTGGCAGCGTATGAGAAGCTGGAAAGTCCTTGACTAGCGTAAGCACTACTTAGCAACAACTAAAACATCGGTGTGTTATCAACATTATTCTCATCCTAAATCCAGAACACAGCACTGTATCAGCTACTAGGAAGGAAATTAACCCTACCCCAGCCGAAACAAGGACAGTTTTATAACTGAGAACTAACGGATTCTGACAACTGTTACTATTAGGTAAACAATACCCTTTTACACAGACAGTATTTTTAGACTTGATCTGTTGATGAAAATGACAAAATCAAATGTGATTTAACAGAAAAATTAAACTTCTGACGATAGTGGCTGTGCTCTAAACGGCTTAACGAAGCATCCCGCCTTTTCTTGATTTATGCTGGATTTGGTAGAAGAGAGGAAGTGCATACATAATGCAGGCATTGTCTCCTTTTGTTGTGCGCTCGGGATCTTACTTGAGAACGTGGGAAAATGCTCCACTTAAATAAGATATTGCTTTATCATAAGTGGTTTCCAGTTCACGCTAACCTTCGATTTATTTTGGTGCTCAACTGTGGAGTATCAGCATTGAACTAAACTGACAGCAGATTGAAATGAGTATGAGGTAAAATAGAGGAAGCTATTCCTTGATTGCACAGAAACACCAGTGCAGCAAAAATTGGAATTCTCGTAATTCTTTTAGAGCTCCAGGCTACAAAATTATTCATTGACAGAGTTGCTTCAAGGCTATTTAAAACCAAAATGCTCAGGTATTCTGCTGCTTTTCCTATTTAACCCTCCTGACAGACAGAAATTAAATACATTCTCCTTAACAGGTATTTTTATTAAAAATATATTATTTTGTAATATTTTTAGATGTACAAAACATAGTTATGGAAAGCACCTTCACTTAGAGAGAAAAAAAGACAGTGATATCACTGAGCTGCAAGGAAAATAGACGGCTCTTTTTCTATGAATCAGTAACTCTTCCCACTAATGCTCTGCTTCCATCTGAGGCTGAAATAGCCACCTGTTTCAAAACCACCCCAGCGTACTGATCATTTCAGTTTGGCCAAAAGACTGGATTTTGCTGGATTGTATTTGTCTAGATAAGGTCATAACCAAGTGGTAAAAATTAGACCACATTTGTTGGAATCCCGCTAGACTTTGATGGGACCTTGTCATGATTCCCTGCGTTATTATCCTTCTGTAAACACGTTCTTATTAAAATCCTCAGCCTTCTCCAGTAATTCTCTGAGAGGATTGCAAATTATTTCACTATCATATGTTTCTCAGAAACAGAGAAGTGATTTGCTTGAGGTTGCTCTGCCGGTGAGTGGCCTGTGGGGTGGCAGATGAGAGAGCACTGCATGCAGTGCTGCCTGCACACATGCCAGATGTGCGGTGCTGCCGTGCAGAAAGCAGCACGGCCTTGATGCGGAGCCGGCTCTGAGAAGCAGTTCTTCCCAGGACATATTGATACGTCTGTGGTCCATGCACACCAGGAGGTCTTGCATTGCCCTACTGCAAGAAGGTTGATAATAAAGATAGATCGTCAGGTGCCATGTAACTTAGATCCTTTCTGGATTACTGTCAATCTGATGGATGAGCAGCTACAGGGAGGGGGTGAACCAAGGTTAAGGTGGTGCGGGTCCAGACATGCCCCTCTGTAGTCTAGTTGGCTGGACTTGTCTTAGCTTTGCCTGCAACAGGCAGCATTTCTACTTTAAAAAAGAAATCCGTGTCCATTGCTAGGCAATGGGAAGTTCTGCTTCAGGGGTCCACAATCTGTAACGGCATTTGGCCTGCTTGATCTGAAGTCTTTCATTCTGCCTCAGCTTCAGCAGAGGTGGTGGAAGAGAGTCCTAAAAATTTAATGAGACAAAATTACAATTTTTATTTTAAAACAAGATGGTACATGACTATAGGTATTGTTAGTCATTACAAGGAAAAATCATATCCTCTCCATTGTGGCTTTCCGTAGTTCACTTACCACAGCCACTGTTTGTATTTCATCAGGAGAATCCTCTGTTCCTTCTATGGCTCACTTCTTTATGTGTGAGAGAATTATTTAAGCAACAGATTAGGGGTAATGGGAAAGGAGAAGCAGTGTAAGAGGATGAGTCCTCCTGTCTTCATGATGCATAGAAAACATGTTTGGTTTTTTGGAAGCTATCTCAAGAAAAGATTTTGCAGTCTGGGACCAGGAATTTCCCATCAGATTCTTACCCCACGTTCCAGCTACTCAGCTCTTGCTTGGCTGAAAAATATGCACCTTTAAGCACATCAGCTGTTTTAGTCTTCATCTTTTACTGCAGATAGCAGCAGTTTCCAACATAGTTTGTAAAACTGGAAAAATATCTTCGGGAAAGCGGAAGCCAGACATCTTCCCGCCCCCCTCCCCCTAACGACAATGGAAGTCCATTCTAAATTTTTTGCAATATAATAGTAAGCTGCCTGGGAGTCCCTGAGGTAACACAGGCTGCCCATGTAAAGTTAAGCTGGTGGCAATATATCACAGTGATGGTTGCCAGCTGGGGAGCCTATGAAACAACACTGAAGAGTTCTTGTCCAGCTTTATTCAAAACACTGTAAAGATATCTCACAAAATGCATCTTGTCTTTGGTTGCGAGTTTGAAAAGCAAAGCAGTGGAGGTTTAATGTTATTATAAAACTACATTCAGTGATAACAGTAAAGTTTTATCTACTCTAATTGAATAAACACAATTATCAACTGTATTTTGAGCCAAATTTTTTATTGGCATAAATTGTGTAGTTCCATTGACTTTATTCCACCTGATGTTGTTCCTCTACCTTTTGCAGTCTTTCTTTTAATTCATTTAGAAGACCAGTACAGGCCATGATAAACAACCTCGAAGGATATCAAACAAATAAAATTTCCACTAGAGCAATTGTTGGTCCAACAAATATTCCAGTAAAGGAATATGATGTAATAAAAACAAGCAGAAGTTGTCTGCTTGGGAAATGTATTTTATTAGCCTGATATTTTTGTAGCTCCGTGGGTTCACTAACAAAAGAACAAGACAACAAGGTCTGCAAAACAAGGGTCATTGCAGAGTTCCCAAAGGAAGAGCTAGAAGAGCTGATCTGGGAGAAAGTAATCCAAATACTGGGAATGACAAATGCAGTGTGGTTTCCATTGGCTGTAACGTGGGCGCAGCATATTTACAATATTGCTACACTAACAAAAGAACAAGACAACAAGGTCTGCAAAACAAGGGTCATTGCAGAGTTCCCAAAGGAAGAGCTAGAAGAGCTGATCTGGGAGAAAGTAATCCAAATACTGGGAATGACAAATGCGGTGTGGTTTCCATTGGCTGTAACGTGGGCGCAGCATATTTACATAATATTGCTACTCTTTATGGCATGGTGATGCTGCTGTCCCCCTCAGGAGGTGGGTTGGGCTGGACTCTGGTGGGCACAGGAGGCAGATGCTGCAGGCAGCGTAGATGGAGCTGTGACAGCGACAGTGTCCTAAACAGCCGGAGGTGGCAGAGGAAGTGGTAGGATTGTGGTTGTGTGGATCTGGTGCACAAGTGGCTGTTTGATGTGGTCTAGATCTGTATCTATCCGTATTTTTAAAAAGCTCTACCAATGGTTACTCATTTTCATTTTTATTTAAATTAAATGTAGTAGATGGAATCCTCAACTGCTTCTATTTAAAGAAACAAAACCAATTCTACTTTGCTGTCCAAGCTGCCCTGCCTTCCGGACTCATCTAAGTCTATCCAAGGTCAACACATGGTTATTGATCTGGCACCCAGAATATCCCTTTGAATGGAAAAATCCTCCCCTGTAGCCTCTGCTCCTGGTCACTCTTGCCCTGACTGTCCCAGTTTCTGGGGACAGCAGCAGTCCAGACGTGACCTTTCTGGGTGACACTTCACTCTGAAGACAGCTTTCTGTGGGAAAACCTTGGCTGGGATCACTCAGCTTGTGTTGCTGCTGGTGTGGATTGTCTTGGTTCTTTTGAAAGGCTGAAGTCAAGAAGTTGGACAGGGCTGTGAATAATTGACTGCGAGTCTTGTCCCTCGGGCTGTTCCCTGTGTTTTCAGAACTGGCTGCCAGTTTATTTAGTGTATGGTACCACTGACCTTTGCAAACACAGTGAATTAGATGTGCATCAGAGCCTTTGTGTATAGGTATCCATCTCCTTGACATACACAGTAGACACATCAAAATGTGCGGACCTACTGCATCTCAATTCTGCAGGATTTCCAGACAGTAAATTCAGACAGTAAAGGTCTTCAAGTCATGCCCAGAAGAGATTTGCAAGCAAAAAAAGGACCTGTCCGGGAAAAGTTAGGTATTCAATAGCCCTATCCTCGGAGTACAGAGTGTAGCACACAGGCCCTACCCCTGGCTTCCCAAGTGGCAGGTCACTTCACACTGCCACACTTCAGTCCGTGGTAGGACTCGGTACCCAGGGACAAGGCCTGCTTGCAGTTACCTGATGGACATTATGAAGCATGCCCCGTCCTCACATCAGCTCTACCTTTTTCCTTGCTCTAAAGCACCCAAGAGCTTCATTGTGCATCACAGCCAGGTGTAAGAGCACAGGTATTTTCCCCATTATACAGCTGATACGCACGTCATTTGGCAGCAAGTTGCATGGCAAGTGCCTGCTCAGAAGACGTTTTGTTCCCCGTGTTTATGGGCTCCTGGAAAAAACACTGCAATACAAAATCTAATGTAGCTTATCTGTAGAGAAGCAACTAAAAGCCTCTAAAGTGATATATTTTTAAGCAGCTGTAGTTGGTACAGAAAGCTCAGGAGAAAACTTTAGACAACTAAACCATGGAAAATTATGTATGTCTGACATCTTTCAAAATGTGATTCATGTTTCCCATGGTTATATATTAGTATATAAGAGCATCACGACACCAGCTTTGGTGAGGTCTCTCACCAGCTTTGAAAAAAAAAACAAACAAAAAAGGCTTGTCACTGTTTTTACCTGAATAATCAGCAGCCTGATAACAAAATCAGTGCTCCTGTGGCTGGAGCACTGCACTGGAGATCCCAAGCTGGGTTCTTTTTCAGTCACAGGTTTTCCGTGCAGCCTGTAGCAGCCCTTGGCAGTGTCTTACCCTTCTAGTCTGTAACATGAGAATAAAGGTGTCCTTGTGTTTCAAGGCTCATGGCATTGATAGCTGTAAAGCAAGTTTATGTCTTAATCTGGAAAATGAGGGCGTACAAAGTATTGCTATTTCAGTTGATTGAATCATTATAGTGCAGTCTTCAGTTTGTAAGTCTTTTAAAGATTGTAAGCCTTGTAAGCAACCCATAAGAAAAATGAATCCTCCCTGCTGCCTGTGCCGTACCAACAGCACGTATCTTCGCTGGCACTTTGAAATATGAGTGATAAAATTACCTTAAAATACAGATTTTGGGGTGAAAATATTGATCAAAGCTGCCTCTTCTTTGGCTTTTCTGAATAAATGAGTGACTATTGCTGACCAGTGCTTATGTCCTGACATGTGCCATCCATGTAATACCCATGGCAGGACCCCGATAGCCCTATGCTGCGTAACTAGTATTGTAAATCAAGATGCTGCAATGCCTGATGGCATTTAATCCCCCAAAAATCAACCTGCATGTAGCTTTTGGCTCCCAGGCCAGAGCTTGCTGATCTGTGCTATGAGGTATGGGAGACATCAGTTACAGAAACTTCTACTTGTGTGAAACATTTTACAGTGTAAATAGTGTCTCTTGGTCATGCCAGTTCGGATGCTGTGGGATACAGATTCCTAAACATATCGCTTTGTTCACTGGGGGAGCTGAACTGAGGAGGGAAAGGAGGAAATATACATCAGGTTAACACAAAATGCAGTCTGTGGCTTTTGACAAAAGAAAAAGATTTTTTTCTGTTGACTTAAAATGTTTTCTTGACTCCTAGCCCAAAACACCTTTACTAACCCTTTTCTTTTAATTTGGCTTCGTTCATAAGCAGAATAGTTTACCTTAAAATTAAATTCTAAAATGTAGAAGTCATAGAATAAAACATCTTAGCTTTTAAAAAAATGAAGACATTTTTGTAGTTGAAATTCTTTTTTCTGACATTTACTCTTCATAACATAATTCTGAAGAGCTCTACTCATCACAAGTTATTCAGCTGTTCCTTGTAACTGTGATAATATGATAATGATAAAATGAGTTCCTTTAAGTCAATTTTGCAAGGTCAGTAATTTGGCCTTCTAGCCAAGGCCATCTTGAACCTCTAGGATTTAGCACACAGCTTTCTGTTGTGTCTCAAGCAGGGAAGCAGCATGTGCTGCCTTGTTTTAGCATGAGATCTATAAATAAATCTGACTGATAACTGAAAGGTATCATGTTTATCACTCATTTTACACACGCATACGCAAACTGAGCTGCTCTCTCAATGCTTATTCGCTCTGGTCACAGTTTGAATTGGATGAGGGAGGAAAAAAATTTCTTGACAGGATTTTGTCTTTAGGGATATACAGTGATATACAGATAACAGTCTCTTAACACATATCACTTTTTCCTCCTAACCTTCCTTAGATAACGATGTTGAAGATGATCTTCAGCCACACATCGTTTGAACACTGCAAGGGATTCTCCGGTGAAGCCCAAAGCTCAGAACTGCACAAGGAATGCAATTTCTTCTTGACAGCTGTGCGTTTGGCCTCGCTAAACCAGATACTGGATCCATGGGTTTACCTGCTACTCAGAAAGATCCTCCTCCAGAAGTTCTATCAAGCAGCCAACACTGTCTCCAAGTGCTCTAACAATGAGTGGAAAGAGAGATCAATCACCTTGTCAGAGGAAATCCGGCGGACAACGGCATGAAGGAACATTGATCCATTTGCATGGAAGCTACTTTTGCCAACGAGTAGTTTTAAATCTTACTGTGAATTGGGGTATCTGTAACATGTTAGCATCTGCATAAATAGCTGAAAATGGTATTACTGAGTAGACTTATAGTGCCAAATAATTATTTAACCAATGTGCCAAAAATTCTCCAATACAGAAGAAGGAATTTCTACATTCTGTTGTTATCGCCATTCATAACTGAGCTGCAGAACATGATGTTTTGTGTGCCTACAATAGAGTTTGGAGGGAATTTTCTTGCATTAAGGTAGAAAAAATGGTTTTCCTATCAGGGGACACTTGGAACAGATTCAACAGATTCAATTACTGAAGAGACCCACTCCTATATATATTTTAATACTAAGATTATCTACTTCAGAGAGTCCTTCTTCCTCCTTTTTTCTGGAGGGACAAGGGGAGAAAGGGGCAAAAAATACAAGAATTAAAGGAAGACAAAATTAGGAGACTTTATTTGGATTTCAGTGGCTTAAAACTGAGAAGGTTGTGTTGTACCAATGATGGTATATCATTCTCTTTCAAGAACTGAAGGTAGCACGAGTCTCATGACACATGGATTTGTCCTGATAAATACTCATTCTGCGTGGATGCTAAAGTAAGCTCATCTGCTGCGGAGGATGTAGCATTGGGACAAATAGCACAAGTGAGAAATCTATGATTTTTTTTTTAAATAGCAGCCTGTGAAATAGCCAGGCGTAACAAGAATTGCTGTTTGCAAAGCACACTATAAAACTACTTTGAGCAGATGGAGAGAGTGATAAACAGGTTGTAAGAGACAGTAAATGTTCTTCCTGTAGATTAACGGCAAAGGTTTACGAAGCCAAAAATACTGCTTTCATATGAGTTGTTTTCGTTGGAAGTGCACATGTCTAGGAATAAAATTAACATCAAATAATTTTTAAGTAATGGGGATGCCACTCAAAACTTCTTCATTACTAAAATGTCCTACAAAGTGGCCAAAATAGTAACCCAAATGAGTTTATTTCTTCTTTCCTCCAAAAAGACACATTTCAGAGATATGGCAGCTTTGGCAATTTTTAAAATAAAGCAAACTGGAAGAGGTGGGTAGAAGTGTGTGCATTAGTCGGATCTTTCCCCCAGGTAACTTTCAGGTTTCATTAGAAAACTGAGTTCTAATCCATTTGCGTCACATCTGAAGTTTATCTTTACAAGGGCTACATTTTTTCCTCGTTTTCTTCACCCTTTTGTAGATGATAGCCTCTAATGTCTCCTGTTGCATGGCCTCTTGGGTGAAATTAGGTGCAAATACAATAAAATACAATATAACATATATAGTAGTACACCATATACTATGTGCCATATAGTATCGAATTCAGGGGCCTTAAAGGCAAATGTAATCCTGCATCTGCTAGGAATTTCTTGCACAGAACTTTTATTTTTACTTCTCTTCCTTTGTCTATAAAAGTAACTACTCAAAAGAGAAACTGGCTACTCACTTTTCTTGTTCTGCTACTGCATTTTCTAATTGCTTATCTTCGTATCAGTCAAACAAAAATAATTAATCTGACAGCAGTAGCCACTATCTGCATAAATCTAATTTTATCTGGGTGGCGTTCGAGTGCAACTTAAAAGCTAATGTCTGTCTTTAATTCAAGAGCCAGCCTAAAACCACAGAGAGGCACATTTTGTAAGGTACTGCCTTTCTTTTGTCAGTCCCATCATCTTCTTCAACTTCATGCAATAAATTCCTTTTTCAGTTACGAGTCAACTGCATCCTTCAGGCTGTGAGACCCCATGCTCGGAGCCGCGGGGCCCTGGCGAGCTGCTGCACTGTGTGTGAGCCAGTGTTGCATGTAACGACTACACGTGCCTGCACATCAATGGTGCTGCTAGCCCCAGTTCATTTACTAATCAGCACTTTGGGGAACACGGTGAAATAAAAATACTACTCGTTCTCTTTGAAAAAGTGCCTTGCAGGATTCATACTTCTTTTAAAAAATTATTCTGGAATATAAAAAGCCTGTTCGTCTGTCCAGAGGATTCGTATTGTTCAGTTTATGTACATTAGCTTTTTAAAACAAATAAACAAACCCAATCACTTGTAAAATATGTCGGGATGACCTTAACAATTAGACTGAATCATTCTTTGTCAAGAAATTTCTGAGCAGCAGCACTTACAGAGCATACAGCCGACTCTGGGATCGTCAGTGGGAGAGCGAGGGAGAAGTTCTGCGAGGAAGAGTGAATCAATCCCCTTTTTATCAGCTCTTTTATAGCAGCAAGAGGGGAATGCTGGTTTTTCCTGTACACAATCAATCAAATACATGGTAATGAGAGAACAGCTCAAACGTGACATTGCCTTAAGTCGGCTGTGGGAAGGGACCCTTGTTCAATTCTAGAGTAGCTGGACATGAGCTTGTTGTTCCTAAGTGTCAGGGGTGGTTTCACTTTAGTTCACTTAAAATAATTTTGTTATGCCATGCCTTTTCTTAGTGAAATAGGACACTTATATTTTGTCCATCTTTGGGTGTGGTAACATGAAGAAGCTACTTTAAATATCAGAAAATGGGAAAGAATGTCTGCTTTTAATTTGTTTACAGAAAAGGAGTTTAAGCGCTATTTGCCAGCCATGACTGTCGTAGTGGGACATGGCTGGAGGAACGCACTTTCAAAAATGAATTCAAAGAGTTTAGTGTAAATGAAAACTTTTGTTTCCCATTTACTTGTTTGAGTGGTGTATTTTTGTTGCATTTCTTTAAAGATGCCTTTTATGTGATGTATTTAAATTCCACTACAGTAGTATTTCTAATACTGGTTTTAATATGTTGTACTTCTGTCAAAGATGTTATGGGAACCGTAATGTATGGAAAAACGATTCTGAAATCATTTTTTGCCTTAAAAACTAGCTTGTTTGTGTACCAAATCAATGTGTGTTGTATCAGTCAGAATAAAAGTTCAGCAGAATAACGGGTCTCCGTTTCCTTGATTACTCTTGCCTGGGGCACAGTGTCACAACAATTTTGAACGCCCTGTACAGAGCTGCAGGTGGAAGCGCAGCCCCCGGCGCCCGGCTGTGACCGCTCGCTGAGCAGATCCATCCTGGCGAGTGGAGCTGCAGGGTGCTCGCCCACCTTCCTCCCTGCTGCCCGCTCCCGATGGGCTGTGCACAAAGCGGCAGGGGATGGAGAACGGACCATCCTAACTGCAAAGCATGGGTTAGTAACAGGCCTTCCAATAAATGGTTAAGTGAGTTTTTCAAAAGCACCACCTGCTGATACAGTAGAACAGGTCCTGACAGGTTTACATAGATCAGATTTTATCTGCACAGTCCTCCAGCTAGTGACCGTCACCTGTGGGAACCATGCTGCACCGCTGAGGAAGGCTGGTTCAGTTTGCTGGGTCAGTACAGGCTTTGCACTTCCTAACTCGCTGTACGCCAAGCTCACGCCTCTCGAGTGCTGGGTGGGAAAAGCACACAGGACCAGGACTCTCTGCACCCCCAAATCTACGACCCAGCTCAGTGTCTGAAGCATTTCAGCCAAGCCCGTGTACCAGAGCCCACGTAGGTGACCATCTGCAGCCCCTCTCACCAAGGGTGTTCCCACATTTTTTTACATTATTCACATTTTTTTATTTTTTTTTTTTTTTTTTTTACATTTTGTAATTTTAACACAAGCTTCTTGGGCTTCTAAAGCAGATTTATACAGCAGAGCAGTGACTCCACTAATGTGCTGGAAGCATCGTTAGGACGGGCAAACTCAATCCACCACCACAACAGAATTCGGTGTGCTCCTCCGGAGAGTCAGTGAAATGTCACTGTGTATTTCTCCCAAGTTAAATGACCTTCAGAAGAGAAACAGCAAACAACTATATGCAATTTTCCCTTATTTCAAATGCCCTGCCTGTTCCCTTACTGCTCAATGGATTTATAGTAATTGCCATGTGGTGGTACCATGTTTCACTGTGGACTGGCACCCCAGAGAAATGGCCGCTAGCTAATACACGGAGGATAAATACCCAGCAAAGCTCATCTTTCAAATTACAGCTTTTCTTGGCTACTGTCCTGAAAGGAGATTCTTCAGGAAAAAGGAGTCCTTCATGAAGGACTTACTGAAGTTTCCCATGGGTGGGTGCCCCAGGACAGAAACTTGTTTATCATGTAAACCTCTCCTGCAGCTGGGGCAGAGCCTGAGCTGCTGGGTGCAGGACGTAATGTCAACAGTCACAGGCTGATAGAAACCTTGAAACCAGTGCTTTGCAGCTAATAATATCAAAAGCACCTTTATTTAAATTTTCTCAACCTAGCATGTCACTGCAGAACTGGAAATACTCACCACCACTTAATTTTTATCTATTAGTGTGCAAATGTGAGCAGCTGGCAATCAACAGCGATTGCTGCATTGAAATCTTTCACTTCTGGGGACCAGAAGGGAGCATGAACAACTTCATTATGTGGATGCTTCAATATAAAAAGGGACACTTTTTATAGCAAACAGACTAAAACCAAATTACGGACAGAGCATCTCTTGTGACATACCCGAAGAGACGTGCAGGGCAGCAGTGGTACCGAGCATGGTGGTTTGGGCTGTGGTCACTTTGCAGTGTCACACATCGCTCTGCAGCTCTGTGGCCCCACATCGGGTCCTATCGGGTGAGAGCAAATGAAGATACGTGCCACCCATGGTCTGCCAGCAGCCAGAGAAGCACATGCGAAGCAAACCGAGGACTTCAGGAGCCCGGGAGGTCCCAGTGGCTGTGCACAAAGCCCTGGCTTCGCTGTGCCCCACGGGCACTGTGGTGCCTCCGAGGGCAGGCAGGGGCTGGGTCCCTGCCAGCTGCGAGGTGGGTGCTCGGTGCCCGTGGCCATGTCAGCAGCACCCAGCTGGCGGGCTCATTCTGTGCCAGCCATGCACACCAACGGTGGTTGCCCAACAGTCTGTGACACAACGCTGGTCGAGCTGCCCCAGTGAAAGCACCTTGGGCTGGTTTCCCCGAGCCCTGCCAAGGTGGGTCCTGCCACCCCCAGAGCAGCGCGGCTGGAGCCTGGGGGTCGCACAGGAGCATCACCAGACCCCAGGTGTCGGAGTGACTGCTGCCCTTGTCTTCAGCTTCCTCCCTTCAGTGGCCACCCCTCACCTCAACAACAGGCACCCGCTGCACAAAAACATCAGCCCGGCTTAGCAGAGCCAGACCAACCCTGTGAGCCCAGTGTGACCGGCAGCAGTACCGCCTGCCTCTCACACTCGCAAACAGGCTTAAAGACGTCGATCGATGATCTCAGTGCTGATCGATATTGCTCTGAGCACATGAATTTGAAAGCAAACAGGTTGCACAGATGCGGCATTACCCAAGATGTTTATTTACAAAACAAGCATGCAAAAGGCGGCCCAAATCTTGCAGGTAAAGGAATTGTGAGAAATGGATGTGTTTGCTGCATGGTGGGAGAATAAGGAAGCTGAATAATGCTCAGTGGTAAAGCATGAATCACTCCCCAAAAGAGCAAGACAAAATTGGCAAGGAGGAGGTGTCAGGCACCCAAACTGGCCCGATGAGCTGAAGTAAAACCTCAGATACCCGGGAGATCCTCTGCTAATTGCCACATTTTCTAAATTAAAACATAAGCTTTAGACAGCAAGAGTAACAAATCCCGAATTATATTGTTTTCATTCACTTGATGTTTGTAGATAACATTAAATAATTCAGAGTAGAAACTTAATAGCATGCTGGTCAAAGTCTGAAGGCTTGTAAAGGCAACAGTAGTTGAGCACAAGACCCCTCCTGCAATGGTCACCACCATTTTATTTAACCGGGTTTTTTTTGCTTAGTTACAGTTTTCTCCTTCTGGCTTATCAGTTCAGAGTAGCAGCTCAGATGCCTGGATAAGTGGGAGGATTTGGGGGTTATAATACAGAAAGAAGGAGCCTATTTCAAAGTCTGTGGGAGAAGAGGGCAGTGCAAAACCAGGGCTGACTCATAACCAGCCCCATTAGCCATGAAAAGGCAAATGGGGGTAAACGCGAAGGGGAACCCAAGGGGAGCAGTGGGGCAATGCTGGGTCTCCGCTGTGCTGCCTCAGGGCTGGCTCGGGGCTTCAGCCCCACCACCGAAGCAGCAGGCAGGGTGAGATCAGCCCGATGGTGAGGCGCAAGGGAGCAACGCTGGTGGCCAGAGCTGCCGAAGACGGTGCCAGGAGAGGGAGGTGGCAGCCGGTCTCGGTAGCCCTCCCACCACCTCGCACAGGCTCCTCCAGAGAGTTTACAAATGAAACCCTGGCATCAAATAAACCGTCCCTGCTGAGATGGCCGCATGCATCCCTGCGGCACAGCTCCCCGCGGCTCCTGCCCCTCAGCCCCCAGCCAGCACCAGCGTGGCCGCCGCCGAGGGATAGGCTTTCCAACACAGCTCAGCCTTGCTGCAGCTCCACTCTCACTGCAAGTCCCACACATCATGGAAGAAACACCTCACCACCCAGCCTCAGACCCACAGAGCATCTAATTTTAAGTTTCCTTTTATCAGCTAATTTGATCTCAGTTTAAAAAAAAAAAACACAACAAAGAAACTATGTTTAAAAAAAAAGCAGAATGCTAGAGAGCATTAAAGGCTGTGAAATGAAAGAGGTGGAACCACAGAAAGCAAATTATTTTATCTTGAACAGCAGCAGGAAGAACAACAGTCGATAGGTCTGGTTGCCCAGAGACAGCAGAAAGCTCCCCAAAAGCACGCTCTGCGGGGATAAACAGCTTTTTCAAGATGCACAAGTCTCTGCCCAGAGTTACAAGAACTTTGGTGGGATGTAAAGTGTGTTTTACAGGCTCAAATCCTGCTCGGGTTCCCTTGATGAAGTTTTCACCCAGAGGAAGAGTTGATTCTGAGCACAGCTCTCCCCACCAGCCCCCCTGGCCACGCTACCTCCGGGCACATCCCTCGGCTCTCTGCCCAGCAGGGCCGAGCAAGCCCTGGGGAAGCCGGTGGTGGTTTTCCACGTGCTTCCTCCATCCGTGGCTCATCATGAGTCTCCATGCAGAGTCAGAGCCTGTACTTGGTCTCATGGGGGGCACGTCCCGCTCTCGGGGTGCAGGCACTGCCCTGTTTTTCTTTAACAGATCCCCAATGCAATTATAAAAATTAAATGCGAAGCCTGTATTTTTCATGATGTGGAAATGAGTATTTTAAGAATACTGTTTTGACAAATTATAAACACAGTGACAAAGGCAGAAGATAACAATTTTCAAATAAATGTGTGATACTGGGTTACCAGCGGCATTGACAAAATGGCCCTAGGTGTGAGCTGATCTCTGTCGGAAGTGGGAGCATCTGACTGCCTGCAGGTAAGATGCTGTATATTCAATGAAGTAATTTAGATCACACCAATGCAGTAAAAGATTTGGGACCAGGGATAAATTACCTACATGAGCTCTACACCCAAGGCCACTTTCCATGAAGGAGTGAGGCGTTCCCCTGGCTCGCAGCGACCCCTTGGCCCCCCAGTCCTCAAAGTCCCATGTGCCCAGGACATTCCCCAGCTCCTTCCAGTAGTGCTGGGCTTCACTAACCCTGGGATCTGAGCTTGGCTGATGGTGAATACATGAAATGCCCATTTATTTCATATATATATAATATGCATGACTATCTGTGCACTGTAGAGATACACTAGTGTGCTATTGCACTTGTTCCTATCTAATCCCAACTGCAAATCAAGCCAGTTTCTGTGGGGCAGCTTCTTCTGTGCTCAGGTGTTCAATGAAGAAGTTCCCTGGACCCAGCAGGATCCTCTTGTGATGGCCAAGCAGGATTTCCACCACAGCGAGGGCTGGCGCAGCTGCATTATATGGACACAAGATCGGACCTCCCAGCTCCCACAGACTGCGTGCGAGTGGGAAAGGAAGGAATATCTATAGCCCGGGGTGCAAAGGGAAAAAGAGCCATCCCTCAGCTGCCTGCTAGCACCCAGA